ATCAATGTTGTTGGCAGAAAGATTACCAAGGCAAGACTTGTATCGACTACTTGCTGGAGCAACCCCGGCGATCCAATGAAGTGTCGAACTCCATGATTCAAATGATCCTCAAGAAATCAGTGCAGGATCGATTGCTGGGTTGGGGTTTGGAAAGCTGGCGATTGGAGATGTCTGGCACCATTGATCGGATATGCACGAATGAGGATGCCGACGCAAACAAGGAATTGGTGGACGAATTGTACCAGAAAATGTCGAAGTATGAGGAGCATGAGAACATATCTATGTTAGAACTAGCATTGTGGAAGAAGGAGTTGCAGTCTATTAAAAGACTGGAAAACTTGCAGCTTTCATTGGATCGGCTTTCTTTTCGTATCAGATGTGGTACAGCTGTCGCAATACCACACGTGATGGCGTTTCTCTAGACGATGCTACTGATTCAACATCGGCAGTCCGTCCTTTGGGAGCAGAGGAAGCAGTACTTGCCAGTCGGCTGACGCCATCATCTACTTGCCAGTCGGCTGACGCCATCATCTACAGTATGGAATACTTTACAGTTTCATCTATCTTATATAGGACTATGCTAGGGCAGCTGAAGAAGGATTGCAACGAAGATTTCTTGACCTTCCACTTCATAAGCTATGTTGTGATCCACTCGCGAGAACGGAGGGAATAGATCATATGTTGGTAACGTTGGATTCCGCCGCCGCCGCCAAGAAGATCGACCACCTTGGCATGAGTCCATTCCACATACTTACCTCGTCTGCAAACCTTCGAGAGGATATTTTCAAATACATTCTTTCCGGACTCGATTATCTCGAAGCGCATCAATGTTGTTGGCAGAAAGATTACCAAGGCAAGACTTGTATCGACTACTTGCTGGAGCAACCCCGGCGATCCAATGAAGTGTCGAACTCCATGATTCAAATGATCCTCAAGAAATCAGTGCAGGATCGATTGCTGGGTTGGGGTTTGGAAAGCTGGCGATTGGAGATGTCTGGCACCATTGATCGGATATGCACGAATGAGGATGCCGACGCAAACAAGGAATTGGTGGACGAATTGTACAAAAAATGTCTAAGTATGAGGAGCATGAGAACATATCTATGTTAGAACTAAGATTGTGGAAGAAGGAGTTGCATTATATTAACCGATCGGGCATCGGGGGGGATATTAGCCCCGTCGGACGGGGCTATCCCCAATTTTACGCATTCGAAATAAATGTACCACACACTCGTATAGACGTAAATGTTCAACATCATCAAGTTTTTCGTCCTGATCGAGCGAAAGTGCCTAGTTCTAGCCATCAATTGCCTTCACCACCAGACTGAAGCCACAAATTAGATCTGAATTACCCAATTCTCCATAAGGAATAACGATCTTTGGATTGGAGCTTTCGATGGACCAATTTTGGACTTCGCAAAAGGGACGGCGCTCCAGAAAATCAAGCATGACGGGGCTCTTGTTGACACCCATTGGAAATGAGACAATGTGGCTCCTGTGATAGTGATAAGTTTTGTTGTGTTCCCTTTCCTAGACTTCATATTGGGGAATGAAACCCCGAAGCTCGTTTCATTTTGGACCAGGATGAAATGCACTGATTTCATTACAATTTGCATCCGACACGAACGATTCATAATGTGTGCGGTAGATGCAGATTCAAGCACAGAGCACACTTCCTCCGCTCATCATGCATACTTAATCTCTTAGGATAGTGGGTTGGAAGGATGATATAAGATGGGACTACTCCCAAATGCTCCCTCTTGTGGATGAGTGGATTCAAAATGTGCTTGATCAGATGTTGC